GAGGAAGCCGCTCTGCCCGTAGCGCCCCCTGCTGGTCGCACGCCCGAGGTACCTGCCGAGGCACCCCCTGCTGGTCGCACGCCCGAGGTACCTGCCGAGGCGCCCCCTGCTGGTCGCACGCCCGATGTACCTGCCGCGGCGCATTCTGTTGGCCACGTGACTGCGGCGCCCGCCGCGGCGCATTCTGTTGGCCACGTGACTGCGGCGCCCGCCGAGGCGCCCCCTGCTGGCCACACGCCCAAGATGCCTGCCAAGGCGCCCCCTGCTGGCCAAGTGATGGCGGCGCCCGCCGAGGCGCCGGCGGCCATGCCTGAGGCCGCCTCTCTTGTCCTGCCCACGGCCATGTCTGAGGCCGCCTCTCCTGTCCTGCCCGTGGCCCTGCCTGAGGCCACCTCTCCTGTACGGCCCAGCCAGCCCGGCTCCTCTGTCTTTCCCATCCAGCCCGGCTCGCCCGTCCTGACTGCGGCTCCGGCTGCACTGCCTGCCGCCGCACCCGCGGCTCTGGCTGCACCACCTGTGGCCACGCCTGTTGCCTCATTGGAGGCCCTGACTCCAGTTCCCCAAGCCCTGGTCCCAGTCCCTGAGGAGGTCCCAGACATTCCAACCACTGCTCCTTCCTCCCTGGAAGGCGAGGAGCTCGAGAGGGACCCCTCGGGGACCTCCCTCATGACTCCCTCGCCCTTGCTTTGGCGAGGCCGACAACCCCCGGGATCCTGCCTTTCCGTGTCTCGTAAGGGGAGGGGACACAAACGTCGGGCCTGGGTCCCGCCCGCCCTGCCCCCTGGCTCGCCCGTGCGTCCCCTGGCTGTGGCTCAGTGGCTGCCTGCAGGTCCTGCGGCACCGGTTTGGCTTTCGCCTCCGGGTCCCCCTCCGGTGCCTCGTCGCCCACCTGCGGTCCCTCCGTCGGCCACCTCCGGGCCCCCCTGCTCCAGTTGGGCGTCGGACGGCACCTTCCCTGGCTCCGGCTGCACCTTCTCCTGCCGCGGCTTCCCCCTTCTGCCTGCACCGTTGTTCCCTCCTGCTCCCTCCTCGTTTCCTTTGTCGGTCCCTCCGTCTGTCTCCTTGCCCCCTGTGTGGTCCCCTCCAGCTCCGGCCTCCCGTCCGCCTGCGGCTGCCTTCCCCCGCCCGCCTGGGTTCCCTCGGGCTCCCCTTTCTCCTCTGTCCGTTCCTGTCTGGTCTCCCCTGTCTGCTCCTGGTCCCTTCGTCCCTCTGTGCCTCCCGTGTTCACTCCTGGCCCGCGTTTCCTGTTCTGTCGCGTCCTGTCTTTCGGTTGGTCTTTGTTCCAGTTCTGTGTCTCTGTCCTGTTTCCCTGGTCTCGTTGATGGTTTTGTTCTTATTTTCCAGGACCTGTTTCCCCGGTTTGGTCTCCTTCATCGCCTCCCTTTGGGGCGCGCCTTTGGGGGGGGGGTTCTGTCACGATCCGCTCCGTTCGAGCCCGATGTGTGCCACGCCAACCTCGTTACCTCGTGATTCCCTGATTGTTCTCACCTGTGGCTCGTTACCCGTAGCTTGTCTTTTGTATTTAGTCCTTGTCTCAGTCAGTCTACCCAGATCCGTCATTGTAGTGTCACGTTGGACGTTCGATGTTTGCCCGGATCCCTCAATAAACCCCGTTTGTCTGTCTTTACGGCTCTGCTCGCCTGCTTTCTGGCTCGCTTGCCCCGCACCCTGACAACAAGGTTGGAATAGTAACAGCTTTATTATTATATAAACATATAAATATATAATATGAACAATTGCATAAATAACTAGAGACGCATTTCCGCAAAAATTGTAGGAGGAGCGTCTACAAAAAGTGAGTGGAGTAAAAAAATAAGAATAAATTAGGAAACCAACAAACAAAACTCATTCTACTTTGAACTATTTTTATTACAATGATATGATTATTAAAACAAAGTTATTAAAAATTAACTTTAAATATAAAGACTATAGTGATGTGCACTGCGGCAAAAAAAACATAGCGTTGACCCGGAGGTGCTGATTATCAACACAGTTTTTAAGAAAGTGTTCCATATCTTTTTTGTACTGAAACGCAAAACGAAAGGGATCGAGGTCAATCATCAATCAATCAATCAATCAACGTTTATTTATATAGCACTTTACAGCAACCTAAGTTGAACCAAAGTGCTTCACAGCAATAAAATAACAATGAAATAACCTTAATAATAAAAACAAAGAAACATATTATTGCAACCAAATAAATGCACAATATACATGAAAATACATGAAGGTCATCCAGATCATCATTCTGTTTTAGTCTGTCAAGTGCTTTCTGGCAGTTCAGGTGTTGCATTCGTCCAAAACCGGCTGTGAATTAGCATCCCATATATATGTGCATCAAAAATAGTGTATATATAATTAATAAGAATAATTGTCATGTACAGTAAAAATTATTTAATTTCACAACACATGCAACATTTGTAACAGAGCTGCCTAGTTCACTAAAGCTAAACAGATTCGGAACTAAAATATTTATAAAAAAAAATCTTTTTCAGTAGCAAAATCTGTATGGCATTAATTAGAAACTACGAACTATCGAACAGGGGATTGAGTTTGCAGACACAGTCTAAGCTTCAGTAACCAATTTAAAGCTAAATTTGGAGAAAAAAAAATCACCGTTCGAATGCTACCGTTGTTGCTTCTTCTACCCACTTTTTTCTTTCGACAAAGCTAAACACTCTCCCACTGACCAGTCCTGGCTGTGCGTGGAGATCATGTGATATCTGGTACTGCCTGTCACTACCGAAAATGTTACACCTACCGAAAATGTAACTTCCTCTACTACGCATGCTCACGTTTGCGACTTCTGGAAGGAGGTGTGCTATTTTTACGGCATCGCGTCACATGTCATCTTCTGTTGATTTTTGATGAGAATGTCGACAGCGAGAGGAAAAAGAAGATTTAACCGGATAATGATGGAATCCTTCGACTTTAAAAGATTTTATTTCGCATAGGCCTTTAATGCCCAATGTGCTTCAGAAGGAGCAACGTAAAATGAGTATGGCCATAAATTTTACAGTCAAAGGTGACATTACTTTAATGTTACCATTATGTACTACTCCCAGTTCGATGT